AAAAAAAAAAAAAAAGAGAAGCACATGAAAGGATATAAAATGGCCAGAGCCTAAGAAATAAGCTAATATACATGCATATGGACATATCCACATATTTGAGCATGCAGAGACATGTAAATACTCAGGAGAGAAATCTGCTTTTCCTCTTATTTTGTGTTTCTCCAAAAACTGAAGAGTAGATAACAGCTGACAGTTACCACCCTCTGAGTGTGACAAGAGGTCACAAACAGGGAGGGCCTCTAGCTGCCATTTCCTATTGCTTCCCTGGTGAAACAACCAGGCTGGTAAGTCACTTTAGGAGACGCTCAACAGGGCTCCCATTGTTCCAACCTCAAAATTCTGATACAAGGGGCCCCATTCATACAGACAGCTTACAGGCTGGGGGATGGTCCCTTCATGTGCAGTCAACTTTTTATTGGGACACTGAATTTTCAAAAACACTGACTTGCACTAATAGTGTTGTTTTTTATAAAATGGTACAGAAATAAAATTCAAGATACTAAACTGGGAGCTAGGACACCTGAGTTTTACCATCAGCTCTCTAATGTAACTTTAAGCAAGTCACTTGCTCTTTCTGGACCTCAGTTTCCTTGTTTGTAAAAACAGAAATGATTTTTAAGATCCCTTGGAACTCTAAAATTCTATGAACACATGTGAAGTCTACTGAGCTTGCTTCGCTGTTCACTCTAATGAGTGGGGATAAGTTGTAAGCAGAAAAATATCATTACTACACATCTTTTCATTCACTATCAACACTTAAAAACAAACAGCCTTAATAAAAACCAAGTCCACTTTGTTTTCTCTTTTAGACAAATCACACGTAGAGTTCAGTGAGAACCTGTCACAGCAAGTTCAGGATCACGTAAGCAGGTAACCCCACACAATGCACAATGATGAAGGGCATAAACACAAGCCGTAAGTATACTTTTATGTCACTTTTTCTTAGGTTATTGATGCATTTCCAGAATCTCTTCATTTCTTTGCATAACTGAAAACCCCCAGAGGAAAGACGCCATTTACAATAAGAATGTGATCAATGTTACGAGCTTCTGCACCATGTCATTTTTTTGTTTTTTCAACCTCAAAACTTGCCAGAGCAAGGACTTTGTCTCCAGAGCCTAAGAAGAAAGACACATAATAAACAAAAAGATTATTTCAAGTACAGTTACAATTCCTGGTAAAATGGGAAAAAATCTATCATATAGATATTAAAACAAAAAATATAATTAGCCTCCATTATCAGTATATTAACCACTACATGGTCCCATTGCCATCCCCATTTCCTTCCCTCTGCGCAAACAATCCAGCTATAAAGGGGAACGTATTAGTTATAAATCCTTACTCCAGCTCTAGCTATGAAATAGAATATGTAAAATTTTATTTTAAAAATTTTTTGGCCGGGCACGGTGGCTCAAGCCTGTAATCCGAGCACTTTGGGAGGCTGAGGCGGGTGGATCACGAGGTCAAGAGATCGAGACCACCCTGGTCAACATGGCGAAACCCCGTGTCTACTAAAAATACAAAAAATTAGCTGGGCATGGTGGTGCGTGCCTGTAATCCCAGCTACTCAGGAGGCTGAGGCAGGAGAATTGCCTGAACCCGGGAGGCGG